CTATCTCCTGACCTTGTAATCCACCCGCCTTGGCCTCCTAAAGTGCTGGGATTACAGGTATGAGCCACTGTGCCCAGCCTGGACTGCACTCTTCTACCTGGTATTTCCTGTCCTCCTATCCATGGTGGCTCCATCCCACTAAGAGCCATTTCCATCACTAATAAAATCCTCCACATTCGCCACCCTTCAGTTCATTTACACAACCTGATTCTTCCTGGATGCCAGACAAGAACTCAGGTAACAAGAGGGTGCGTACAAAGGCTGTCACCCTGACCCTCCACTGAGCTGTTAAACACTTAAGCCATGGTCTCAGTGAGTTGATTTTGTTTGTGCAGTGGGCAGGAGGAACCTGTTGGGCGGTTACACTGGGATGTCTCAGGAGGAACCAGTGTGGACCCAGGACCAATGGCAGAGGGAGGTGCAGCCAGGTGCTTTGGTGCTATGAAAGCCTCCCAGAAGTTTTTCCCAATTTTGTGGGGAGCCCCAGTGAAGGCTGATACTGAATTTCCTGCCAGTCAAGCAGAAAGGGGGCTCAAAGTTAGATTTTAGTTATTTTAAAGAAAAAGGTGATTTAGCCAGCACACACAAATCTGCAATTCATAGCTTCCCACACATGTGAATGTGTGCCAAGCAAGTTAAATAAACACAATCCTAAGCCAGACAGTGCCAACTTAGGTATACAGGGGCATGCAGAGCAACAGACATTGGCTGGCAGTGAATTAAGTCCCTGTGCCTCCACACAGCTGGACTGGCCCTCGGTCCTTTCCAATGGTACGCACTATAATTAAAAGAAAATGGTGGGAGGCAAGTCTCAGCCATTTTTAGAAGTTGATTTTGCCAAGGTTAAGGACACACCCAGGAAAAAGGGACACATAACCACTGGAACATCTGTGGTTCCTTGCTTTTCCCAGAGGGTCTGGGGGCTTCAATATTTAAAGGGAAAAGAGCAGGCAGCAGGGGGAAGAAGAAGAAGAAAAAAGGGAGGTAGATAAAAGAGGCAAGCGGTTGCATTCCTTTGAGTCTTTTGATTAGCTTTACTGAATCCACATTTTTCATTTGAAAGGAGTGGTAGGGAAAGAGTCAATTATGCATTCCTCTGGTGCTCAGTGGAATCTGCCTTTTTACATAAGATAAAATAATCACAGAGTGCAGGAAGCAATCAGATATGCATTTGTCTCAGGCGAATGAAGGGATGACTTTTAGGTCTGTTCATGGTCCCTTACCTGTAAAAGTAAGTGGTTAATTTGCATTGTCAAGGTGAAATTTAACAGAACTGCTTTAGGGTAAAAGTCTTGGGGCCTACAAGGAGTTTCCTCCTGAGCAAAAGGTGAGGGAGGTATGTAGCTATCTATTCAGGAAGAAAATGGGAGATTGGTGTGTGTGACCCAGTTCCCAGCTTGCCCTTCATCCTTTGTGTGACCCAGTTCCCACTAAGTCCTTCAGCTTAGTGAGTTTCTGGTCCTGAGATTTTATTTTCCTTTCACAGCACTCAAAAATTTTAAAAAGTTATTGTGCAAGATAATTGTGCAAATAAAATTTTATTGTGCAAATAAAAGTTATTGTGCATGATAATAAATTACATGCAAGAAAAGGGTTAACATGTCCTGGTGTTAGCAGTTAGGGAATGTATCCAAGTCAGGCGGCACCAAAGTATGGGTCTGCAGCAACCTCAATTCTTGCCTCCTCAGAAGAAATAATTTAACCAAGGGGCATAAGGCAGAAGGAGATACTGAGGCAGGCTTCAGAGCAGGAGTGAACGTTCATTTAAAAGCTTTAGAGCAGAAAGAGGGCCAAGCTGACGACTTGAGCCAGTCAAGGGTACAGTTTGACCTTTGATTTGGGGTTTTGTATGTTGGCATATTTCTTGGGAGTTGCATCCCTTCTCCCCTTGTAGCAGGATAAGCCGCAGACAAAACCCCTCAGACACCGAGTTAAACAAGGAAGGGCTTTATTTGGCTGGGAGCGTCAGCAAGACTCATGTCTCAAAAACCGAGCTCCCCGAGTGAGCAATTCTTGTCCCTTTTAAGGGCTCACAACTCTAAGGGGGTCCACATGAGAGGGTCGTGATCAATTGAGCAAGCAGGGGGTATGTGACTGGGGGCTGCATGCACCTGTAATCAGAACGGAACAGAACAGGACAGGGATTTTCACAATGCTTTTCTATATAATGTCTGGAATCTACAGATAACATAACCAGTTAGGTCAGGGGTCGATCTTTAACCATGCCCAGGGTGCGGCGCCGGGCTGTCTGCATGTGGATTTCATTTCTGACTTTTAGTTTTTACTTCTTCTTTCTTTGGAAGCAGAAATTGGGCATAAGACAATATGAGGGGTGGTCTCTTCCCTTACCCTGATGCTTCCCTTGGGGTGGGCTGTCTGCATGCACAGTGACCTGCCAGCACTTGGGAGGGGCTGCATGCACAGTGTGTTTACTGAAGTTGTACACGTGCTCACTTGAGGAATTCTTCCTTTACGAAGTGTTCATACACCATTTAAACTCTGCCATTTTGCCTCTTAGTGCACATGTTTGAGCCTACTCGCCCAGCTCCTGAGATCTTATTGGGAAGCTGCTGATTACCAGTTTCAGGTGCTTCTATCTGTTGGGAGACTGCCTTTCTCTGGCACTGGGCCACAAAGAATTATTATTTTAGAGAGACAGTTAACAATCACCTGACCCTGACCTGTGGTTGCCTGGTATGCCTGTTGTTGGGGGGAGGTCCTCTCCTGCCCTGCTCATCTCTGCCTGCCTAGCTACTGTCACACTGAGGGGTGAGAAAATCTTTAGATCCTGGTTTGCACAAATCATCTGTAAAATACAATTTTGAAACAACTCAAAGCACAAAAATGCTAACAGTTGCTGAATCCAGATAGGTAGATGAATGTTCACTGAACTCTCTATTCTTCTATGTCTTTTAAAATTTTATAATAAACACTCAAATAACCCTAATTCTCAGGACATTCCAAACATCCAAACCTCACCAAGAGAGAAACAGTATTAGGGGTGGTTGCTTAGCCAGGGCAGAGTATCTTTGTGGTAGGGACTGGAGGGAGTGTTTGGACGGGGGTGTTGAGAGGTGGGAGTGAGAACTTGGTGAGCTGGATTTAAGCTGGAGGATGGGGAAAGCTTTCTGGGATTTCAACAGGGCTTGGCTGGGAAGCAAGAGAGTAACTTGATATATCATACCAGTTATTTATGGCACTGAAAAGTTTACAGAGTTCATTTATGGGGGAAGATACCGGTTAGGAGATACTCTCGAATTTTGTGCTAAATGAAGCATCTGGTCAGATTTTCCTGTGGGCAGAATGGGATGAGTGATGGGGCAGGAGGAGGCTCACAGCCCACTTAACTGAGCTTGCCACGAATCCAAAGGCATTCCCCTTTATGCTTTGACCATTTATCTGGTGGATGCTTGAGGGTAGGGTGGAGACAGGACTGTAAGGGGAGAGCAGATAGGAGATAGGGTTGGAAAAAGCTTCATGATAAACCAGGTCTTGAGTTGTGTGTGTACACTTTACAGATAGTCCCCGACTTACGACTGTTCATCTTAAGATTTTTCAACTTCAACTTCACAATGGTGCCAAAGCAATACACATTCAATAGATATTATATTTCAAATACCCATAAAATCATTCTGTTTTTCACTTTTGGTGCAGCATTTAATAAATGACATGAGATATTCAATACTTTGTTATAAAATAGGCTTTGTGTTAGATGATTTTGCCCAATTGTAGGCTAATGTAAGTGTTCGGAGCACATTTAAGGTAGGTTAGGCTAAGTTATAACGTGTGATAGGTTCGATGTATTAAATGCATTTTGATGTACACTATTTTCAATTTACAAAGGGTTTATTGGGATGTAACCCTATCATTAGGAGCATCTGCGATATGGTTTGGTTCTGTGTTCCCACCCAGATCTCATCTTGAATTGTAATCTCCACATGTCGAGGGATGAATCTGGTGAGAGATGACTGGATCACGGGGGTGGTTCTCCCCCTGCTATTCTCTTTGTGAGTTCTCACAAGATCTGATGGTTTAAAAGTGTTCGGCAACTCCCCCCTCATTCTCTCTCTCTTTCTCTCTCCTGCTGCCATGCAAGATGTGCCTTGCTTCCCCGTTGCCTTCTGCTGTGATTGTAAGTTTCCTGAGGCCTCCCCAGCCATGCTGAACTGTGAGTCAATGAATTCTCTTTCCTTTATAAATAACCCAGTCTCAGGTAGTATCTTTATAGCAGTGTGAAAACAGACTAATACAAACTGTATTTGCCTTCACCTTCAATAAACAGAGGTATTGCTATATATTAGGAAAAGGCAGAAAATCAAAACTAATTTATGTATAACAACTCAGGAGGAGCAGGAATAGATTAAGAATAGGTCAGGAAAACATGGAACATTCAGGCTTACTTACAAGCAGAGAAAAAGTGTGATGTAATTTGCCTTAGGTTGCCACTTTGTCTATGAACTTTCCCTGATCATACTAACCCCAAAGCACTGTCTCTCTTATACACCAAGTTGTCAGCACAACTTGGGGCCCCTGGAAATTGTATTAGGCTGTTGGTAACAGAAAACCTGACTATAGCAATATAGCAAAAATGTGAATTGGCTGTTCAAAAGCTGCTCAAACCCCGCTTCCTTTGTCTTTCTATTTTATAAAGGCTGAAATGAGAAAACATTCACCTTTTCAGATTCACTTGCAACTAGGTAGTGGTGGCCAAATGTCAGAGTTCTGGCCAATGAGATGTAGCAGATCTCTGGAGAGGGCTTCCTTTACTCTTCCCCAAAAGTTATGCCTTCAGACTGGGAGAACAAAATCCACATACTGAGGCTAGCAAGTCAGGAGGGCAAAAGAGCTTGAGACATTAATAGTGTCTTGGCGCTGCTACGCTGGCCATAAACTGATTATCTCAATTTCCTGTCACACCAGGATCCCTACCCCCATTAAACCATGGCATCAGTTAAGAATTGTGTTCACCCATAAGTAACAGAATGCCTTACTTCTATAGGTTAAAAAAAATGAGAAGTTTTATTGTTTCTTTCAACAAGAAGTCAGGGAATAGGAAGGTAAGGCCTGGTAGAGTGGCTTGATCATGTTGTCAGTGACCCTTGCCCTCTGTATCTTCTTAGCTTTCCCTTCTTAATGCGCTGGTGTCCTCCTTATGGTCACAGGATGGCTGCTGTACCTCCAGGTATCAGATCTGCGTTTCAGGCAAAAAGAAATATTATCTAAAGAGTTCAAACTGTGTCATATGGCCTCTCCTGGCTGCATGACGGGTGGGGAAAAAAATCAGGTAATTGGCTTTTCAATGTCTACAGTAGAGAAAACAATGTAGGTTGGTCACTCCACTCAACATCCATTCCCAATCACCTCTCCCTTGCCTTCCTCTACTGTGTCACTAGTACTTTTTGATTTTTTAAACACTGCCTTGTGAAGGAATTACTGCCTCACCAATTAGACTAGAAACCTTGTGGATCCCTGACAGTGCCCAGAACTATGGACACTAAAATGTTTTGAAATAACGAGCAGTAACTGCCTGGGGTTCTTATTTTCTGAAGTTTTGCAGTCACCTTGGCCAATATATCGTTCTGTAACTAATAAAACAAGGCAAAGCAGGACCCGGTAAATGGCAAGAAAAGCAGTGGCTGAAAGTCACAGTAGTAGGATAATGGATTCCATTTTTAAATTTGAAATTTTATTTTGATGTAGAGACTCTCAGATGCTGCGCTACAGAATTCAGACCAGTTCTCCCACTGAGCACAACTTACAAAGCTGAATGAAATATAAAAACATCTTCTTGAAAGCATCAAAGACCTAATAAGAGAGTAAGGAATTATTGGGGTCAAAATCTGAGAGTGATTCAGAATCTAGAGGGGTTGGTTTAGCTCTTGGGGCCACTTTTTTTTCTCGGGGCATTTCTTACTCTTGAGGAGGTGGCTGAGAGACTGAGTTATGCCTTTAGTATTCTGTGGGGTTAGGGGCAAAAGTCAGAATCCAAGGACCATCAAGGGTTGGGACTTGATAAGCCCTGTGTTTTGACTTGAGATCCAGAAGGACTGTTCCATGTGAGTAAGGCTGAACCAGAAATAAAGCAGCCCTCACACAGACCACAGTTATCTTGGTCATCCTGGAAAATCTCAAATGCTCAATTTGGATTAAGGTAATCCTGGAGCACTAGGCTCCCCTAGACACCTGGCAAAAGAAGTTGAAAATCCCCCCTAGAGAAAGATAACATCATTTTAGGCCTCAAATGCCTGTAAGAAAATTTTTCAAAACAAGGTTGGCACAGTAAAAATCTAGTAGACGGATAAGAAGCGAGGACTTCATAAACAAGAACCAGCAGAAACAAAAGATCAGATCGGTCCCAAAGGGACTCAAAATTCTTGAATTCTTAAATTTTCCTTTGATATTATCTCATTGTTTTCATGTCATGAAATTTTATACAGTATAATTACAACAATGAAAAGAAATGAGCTATATAAAATAAAAAGCAAAAAAAAAAAAAAACAAACAAAAAAAACAGCTAGAAAGAAATATACCAGGATCGTGTTGGTGGTATCTGACAGCAGCAAACTGTGGTGTTTATCTTTTTCATTTTTATATTTTCCAAATTATTTTATATTTTGGAGACAGGATCTTGCTTTGTCACCCAAGCTGGGGTGCAGTGGCATGATCACAGCTCACTGTGCCTCGACCTCTTGGGCTCAAGCAATCCTCTGGCCTCAGCCTCCCGAGTAGCTAAGACTACAGGTGCGCACCACCATGCCTGACTAATTTTATTTTAATTTTTGTAGAGACAGGGTCTTAATTATGTTGCCCAAGCTGATCGTGAACTCCTGACCTCAAGGAATCCACCCGCCTCAGCCTCCCAAAGTGCTGAGATTACAGGTGTGCACCACAGTGCCTGGCCTCATATCTCCCTCCAGTTTGGAAACTAGATGCCTTTCAGTGAGAAGTGGAGAAACTAGAGCAAATCCAGAGACTGTTGACCAGAGCAATGCTTGAGGTCAGGAGTTTGGGACCAGCCTGGCCATATATTGAGACCTATGTCTGCAAACAAAACAAAACAAAAATTATCTGGGTTTGGTGGTGCATGCCTGTAGCCCTAGCCAGGAGTTTGAGGCTGCAGTGAGCTATGATAGCATCACTGCACTCCAGCCTGGGCAACACAGCAAGACTCTGTCTTCAAAAAAATAAAATAAAATAAATTGAAGGGTGGGGCATGGTGGCTCACGCCTGTAATACCAGCACTTTGGGAGGCCGAGGTGGGTAAATCACGAGGTCAAGAGATCGAGACCATCCTGGCCAAAATGGTGAAACCCTGTCTTTACTAAAAATACAAAGATTAGCTGGGCGTGGTGGTGAGCGCCTGTAGTCCCAGCTACTCGGGAGGCCGAGGCAGGAGAATCGCTTGAACCCGGGAGGCAGAGGTTGCAGTGAGCCGAGATCATGCCACTGCACTCCAGCCTGGCGACAAAGTGAAACTCCATCTCATAAATAAATAAATAAATAAATTGAAGATGTGGCCAAACAGCTGCAGGAATGTTGGGGCACAGTAGAAAGAACCCAGGATTAGCAGTCTGCAGACAGGATTCCAGTTCTGTCACTAGAAAGCTGTATCTCTAGCTTGCTGGAATTCATCCCTTCCAGCTCTCAAGGCATCGGAATCACAGCTGTGAACAGGAAAGCTAGCACACCAGAGTCAGAATCAAGCAATAGTTATTTATCTAGTTCCCACCCTGTGCAAAGTACCGGGTGCTCTAAGATTCACTCCAATCCATGAGGTGCGTCTAGTCTTTCACCGAGATTTGCCAGTGGTCTTTCAGGGTATTTCTCCTTGCTTTCTGGATCTGATGACTTATCTGAAACTGAAGTTCTATCTGGAATGACTGGACCTCTGTCACTGCAGTGTCAGAAATCTCTTGCAAAGTAAGCATGGTGAACTTCCAAGATGCTGGGCCACTAGGGGAAAGGGTGCAATTAATAATCCCTACCACTTACTGGATGTATACCAAGTGCCAGGCTGTGTGCTAGGTTTTTTGCTTGTGTTCCCTTTTAATCCTTTGAAATGGCTTGACTCTACTCTTATTTATGTTTTTCTGATAAGGAAACTAAGGATTAAAGAGGTTAGGTAACGAGGAGCTGGAAAACAGTCTATTTCATAAAGCATCCTCTTGACAATTCCACTAGACCACCACCAATACTACCGAGCCCTCGTTGCTTCCTCTTCAGCTCAGAATAGTCCACCAAGTCCAGGTTTCCCTAATCCCAAGGTCGGATGGCTGGGTAGGGTAGAGAATGCAACGGAAGGACGCTAATGGAGAATTTTGCAGGGTCTGGGAGCAGAGCAGTAAACGCAGCCCTAAGCACTGAGTATGCTACAGTTTGGTAAAATCCACCCAAGCAGCTTTGGGATCCAAGGCTTGTACTGTATCCCCAACCAACACTAGGCAACGCCCCAAGTCCTCACACTTCCCACTCCGATAGGCGAAACTGCAAGAACCGGGAGGGGCGGCTGCCGCGTTTAGGCGCGAGGCACACACCATACCCTTCCGCAGCTTCCCACCTCCTCCAGACGCACGTGTTTAAAGAGTCCCTGCTCCAACCGGTCCCGCCCCACCTCCGCTCGGCCTCCAGCCCTGCCTGTACTGCTGGCTTCAAGTTTCCTCCGAGAGGCGAGCGCGCACAGCTGCAGTGGCGGCGGCAGCGGCCACCAAGCGTCCGGCAGCGCTTCGCCACCCACCTTTCCTTAGCTCCCGGCACTGCAGTCTCCGCCCGCCGAGGAGGGCGCGCTCAGTGGAGAGGAGTCCAGGGTGGGGAGCCGAGAGGAGGGAATCCCGGGTCACACCGCTACAGTTCTCGCAGTGGCAGAGGCGGCGGCGGCGGCAGCGGCAGCAGCAGGTGGAGCGAGCTACAGCGCTTGGCCTGAAACCCGCCGCTACAGCCACCCGGGCGGGAGCTGGCCCGCTGAGTGGAGCCAGTGCTCACCCCGGCCCGACCCCCGGTTTCCGGGACACTTGGGTTGCCGAGGCTGGCTGGCCAGAGTCGCGGTTGGGGACTGGCGCGCCCGGGAGCGCACGGCTGAGCAGGAAGCCGCGTCTGGGGCGCAGGACCAACTGAGCCTACCTCCTCCCGGCTACCTAAAGACCCCTTCTCTCGGGAAAGAGCGCTGCCGGCGGTGGGATTTGGGAGGAGCTCGGAGGCCGCCCGGGCACCTCGCTGGACACTATCCGTTTGCGCCCCCGTGGCGCTGGAGGGTCCGGAGAGGAGCGCTCGTCTCTCTTCTGCCGTTTAGTGGCGGAAAGCAGAGAGCTCTTCCTGGGGCGGACGGGACCTCCTCCCTCGGTCCTCCGTGGTGTCCTTGCATCGCTTGTCGTATTGGTCTCGAGGGGCTTACAGCTTGACACTAATTTGCAGGTGTTCGCTGCTGATTTGGTTTCGTCTTCGATTTGGGGACAGTTCCCGCCAACGACACTCGACACACGTTTCCCTGTCTTCGTCGGAGGGCCGGGTCTGGGGTCGCCGGAGCCTGCGGGAATCCAGCGCCTATTCGCTGACCCTCGAGTCGCTCCGCTAGCTGTGCGCCCTCCTGGGCATTAGCCTGGAGAGGAGCGTGCAGACGCGGCCCCTTTGAGGCAGTGCGGTCCTCGAGGGAGGCATTGGGCTCCTAGGGGCTTCTTGGCGTGTGCAGTGGGATTGGGGTCAGCCGGCCATGGCCTTCACTTTCGCTGCGTTCTGCTACATGCTGTCTCTGGTGCTGTGCGCTGCGCTCATCTTCTTCGCCATCTGGCACGTGAGTAACCCGCTTTGGTCTCTCTTCTTTTGCCCCAATTTCGTTAAATTTCCCCTATTTCACCCCACTTTTTCCACCTTGCGGGCGTGGGCGGACCGGGAGGGTGGACTTTCTGCCGCTCCTCTGTCCCGGGGCAGGAGGCAGTTCGCTGCATCCCGCCGGGCGCGCCTTCGGTGCCCTCGCTGGAGTCGGGGAGCCGCTGGTGCCCGGGTGGGACACCCTCTGCAGGGCCCGACCGGGCGTCCCGGGTCCCGGGCCCCGGGGAGTGGCGGCTATAACCACATCTAACTCCTTCCTCTCCCGCTCCTTCCTCTCCTGCGGCAGGAGGCTAAGGAGAAGTGCCGCCGTCGGTCCCGGCAATTAGTCAAGTAGCTATAATAACTAAATATTTAAAATGTCAGCATCTGTGGTGGGTTGCATTTAGACATAATTGGAGACAAAGTGGAAACACGACGGGAGCGCCTTGTAGGAGGTAGGGAGAGGCCGAGCCCGCGGAGAGGAGGGAGACTGGGCGATGGGGGTCGAAGTGGAAGGCGGTGGGGGAAAGGCAAGGAAAAGAAGAGCAAGGAGACGAGGGAGACTGGGGAAGGGTAGGCATCATTAAGGCCATGGAGGAAAGTCACAAAGAGAGACCGTGGAGAGCGACGACGGTGTCCTCCTCTGCCCTCTTGGCGTCTGAACGTCCGACTCCTGAAGACCCCCTGCAGGTGGCGAACCTCCACTACGCCCCCAGAGTCCCCAGCCCGCACAAGCTTCATGTCACCCTTCCCGGGGCTTTGCCAGGTGGAGGGCAGCCTTGGATCCCAGGTCTTTAGGTGTGGGTGGGAATAGAGGAGCGAAAGCTTCTGAATAGGGGAAGAGAAGTACTGAGAGCGCAAGAGTGCATACGCTGGTCCTCTCAAAGACAATACAACATTTAGCGAGTGCATGCAACTCTCAAGGCTTTCTTCACTGAAGTTGTTTAAGCCCCTTATCCTCACCCTCAGAGGGCTGGTGGGAAGAATGGCCAAGGCCAAATGTTTAGAAGGAGCATCCCAGTGCATGATTTCCCACCTTTAACAGCTTTGCCCTGCCCAGAGTCTAGGTGACAGGGAAGAACCCTGAGACGAATTCCTGCAGGCATGGTTCTGGTGAGCATCAGAGACTCTCATACAGTGGGGATGCCCCAAAATGAAGACGTGAAGAAAATTGCAGGGTGCATGAGATGCCCATGTTTTGTGTAAGTGGTTTGCGGAGTGAGAGTTTGTCTTAGAATAGAACTAAGCAGCTAGAGCAGCTCCTGCTACAGGGCTCTGACAGAGAGGAGAGGGGAAACTCGGGGAGGAAGGCGGCTTCCGACCGTGTAACCTTAGGAAAGACCCTTGCTGGCTTCCTTCCACATCTCTAAAGTGAGAAAATTGACCTGGATGATCGCTAAGCTTTCCCCCATTTTTCAGATTGTGTAAATCCGTGCATCAGTAGACTTAGGAATCGGGGGGTGACAGGGAATTCAAACATAGATATTTGGAGGATGATTAAAAAAAATCTGCTGTTTATAAGTACTGGGATTTTAAACCCTCCTTTCTCTGCTCTGCCAGGCTGGGTCTAATCTGTGGTAGGAAATTGAGACTTGAAGTTGCTGACAGTTCTTAAGGGAAAAGGAAACTTACCTGATTGAGAATAGAAAGGAGTACAGATTAGACCCTGCCCAAGCAGTGCAGCAAACCTCTGCTAATGTTCTTTAAAGGAACTTCCTCAGCTTCTTTGGATTTGGGGAGTTACTTGCATTCTAGAAGGCCAACTGCTCCCTTTTTTCCTGCAATACCTCATTTGCTGTTTTCTGTTTTTGCCTTGGCCAGAGGGTGTCAGGTACCAGAGAGCTCCCTCAAACTCAGTCTGGCTTGGAGTTCTCTGAACTGGTCCCTGAAGCAGAGCAAGTAACCAGAAAGAATAATTTCCTCTCATTCAGGGGAAGATGATTAATAATTCAAGAACAGCTTAACTGAGTGGTTTGTGCAGCTAGTTGACATTTGAATGAAAATCAGGTGTTCCCTCATCCAGCATTGGCCTCTGCCCTCCAGTTTCTCAATGCTCACCCCCTTGTCTAGGGGTGGTTGAAATGCAGTCAAATCCCAACTCAGGTTTTATCCAGATTCCTCATGGAAGTGGCAAGATTCTTGTTTCTAATGATGAAAAGAATTTGTGCGTTTTGATTTCACATTACAGTAATAATTTCATAGTCTCAGTCCCTCCTTTCCTAGTCTTTTCCTTCTCTATCTCTTTCTCTCTCTCCAAATCAAACAACCCAAACCCCATCACACTGATTTGGTTCCTGAACATTGAACTGGGAAACCAGAGACACCCTGATTTCTGGGCACGGTTTGTATGTCTGGGTGTTAGTTACATGGTAGTAATTATTTCGACCAAAATTGAGGAGCCTTGGTTTTACGTTAGACTGTTTGCCTTCTTTCCAGCTTCTTACATTCCTTATGTACTTCTTGATCGGACAAGGCATATTGATTGTGTGGTATGTATCAATACCCCCCAAAATGAATTGGGCACTTAACAACGTATAGCAGTGAAAATGCCTGCCACGCTGCCGTGTCTAGGCTGAAGATATGAAGATGGCATGCTTTTCTTATTGAATTATACTTACCTACTTGGGGGTAAGGATGGTAGCTACTATGTGTTGGGTGTCTGCTGTAGGACAAATTTTAGGTACTTTACAGAGGATCTCTCAGTCCAGTCGTTTTCCTCCCCTTTCTTCCCACCGGCTGTCTGGGAGCAAGGATGGATGTGGCCAGCCTTTCTTTCAAGTCTTGTTTTTTACTTAGAAAATTTATCTGCATTTGTTTTCCGTTGAAAATATTTCAAGTTACCCATTTATTTTATATCAACTACTATTTCTGAGTACATTTATCACATTTGGAAGAAGCAGAAGAAAACTGAGTTTTTCTGTGGCTTTGCATACCCTCAGGCACCTGGCCTCTTACTGCCCAGGCAGCCCTTTAGTCCTCATAACTGACATTTCCCAGATGAGGAAACTGGATCGGAGAGGTCACAAGGTTGCCTAAGGTTGCACAGCTGTTATGTATTGGAGCTGGTATTCATGGACTTGAGCTAGGTCTGTGAGACTCTTAAGCCTAAGCCCTTTCTCTAACTGTAGTCACTATTTTTGGATTCATAACTTAGATAATAATTTATATCCAAAGGATTACCTTTCTCTGTATAAATGAAATTTTAGAGTTGGAATTTCTGATTGTAGTTTTAACAGCAACAGCAACCAGACTCAAGACATACTATATATCCTTTTTTAAAAGAGGGAAATTCTGTTTATTTAGACTTTCGCTTATAAAATGATACAGGTTCCTTGTCCAAAATTTTGAAAATACAATGATTTGTAATTAAATAAAATAATCACTAATCTTATCTAGAAAAGATTATCTCTTGTGTATTTTAAAAAATTGCATATGGCCCGGCTCAGTGGCTCATGCTTGTAATTCCAGCACTTTGGGAGGTTGAGGCAAGAGGATCACTTGAGCCCAGGAGTTTGAGAGCAGCCTAGGCAACATAGTGAGACCCCGTTTCTAAGAAAAAAAATTGCATGTGGATGTTTAGAAGGAAAAAAAGTGTTCTAAAGGGTTTTTGATGTGAAGTGATGTGTATTTGCAGCCAGTATGAAATGAATGGTGTTTACTCACAAGAGCCTTCCGAGCTCTGGCTTGATTAAGCCTGTTTGCAGCATGTCTCATTTATATAAACCCAGATGAAGCTATTCTTTGAAAAAATCAAAGATTCACTACTGGATTTCAGGTTTTTAGCTTTTGAAGTTTTTATATTTGGAGTCACTGTAAGTTTTGACAATATACAAATAAAATTAATTCCCAATAAAATTCCCTAGAAAGATCCGATGTACCATCTCACGTTGAAATTTCTTTGGATTCACAGCAGCATTTGCTGTGTGAGGGTTTAAATGGCCCCGAACAGGGATGACATACATATGTACTGAGAGGCAGTGTTTCTAGGGAAGATGTCTTCATGGTGGAGCCTTTTGCGGTTC